CTACGGAAATGCATGAGCCGCTCGAGATCTTGCACAACAGAAGTTTTTATGCTGTTGCGGGTTTTCTCTCCGTTTTTTAGTTTTGGTGGTAACTTTGTAACAAATGCAGAGAAAGAATGACAACTACTGTTTCCGTTGGGTAGGCATGTTGGCCGTGTGGGGTGGGTGGTGCCAGCACCACTGCCGGCTGTCACATCGAAAAATTACATGCCTAGCGCAAAAGTTTTGCCTCTTCATTATTCGAACATCAAGTCGAGCTGGAGCGGCAAGTCGACACGAGTTGCGGTTTGCAATTTTTCTTTGGCTTCCCTCGGCTGCCCGATCCCTGCCTGCATTTTAGCACTGCCAGACAAAGTGTGAAACGAGGCAAAAAACTTCTTGGGCCGCACATTGCGGGCGTCTCAGACAGCCAAGGCGTGCCAAAAAATTATACACTGCATTTTAATCACAATTCAAATCAACGAAATCATCGTCGTTATTCCAGCAGCTGCCGCTTCGAGTTAAAACGCAGTGCCTGTATGTGGAAATGGAAAAATGCCACTTGAGCAAAACTTTTCTTCACTTTTCCCATGCAAGCGCAATGCCGCTGTTGTTCCTCATTAACTTGCTGAGCGTCAGTTGATTACAGAGAATGGGACAAACTGCGGACTAAATCGGAGCTCCTTTTAAGATGTTTTTTTCTCCCTCAATCTTAATACGTCGCGAGCTTATTTATTTGTTAAAATTACGGCTTACTCTCTAAAAGACCATAGACAAAGACTTTAACGGAACAGAGCAATACAATAGTAAATTTAAATTTAGTGCGCACATTAGCTTAAGTTAAAGTAGCTTACAAATCCTAAAAAAGCCGACATAGTATCTTCCGTTCAAAGCGAAAAGTAGAGTCTGTAAATTTTATTGATATTCTTGTTATATTTAATATTTATGATACACATATATTTTATGTTACTAAGTCGTAACTAAGCTACTTATTGATTACATTTATCACAATCTTCAAATGGTAAGTTCTTAGTCTATCCTTGTAGATAATGAGCTATCCAAACTATTCAGCAAGTGAATAAAAGCAGAAAACATTTAATCAAATCTGTATTGTGTAAAGTATAATTAACCCTCTCTTAACTCTTATTTTTCATTGACTGCACTTTAAAGCTTAAACTTTGCATACATTTTTGGAGAATCGTTATACTTCGAAGCTTCTGATGGAATAATTAAAATAATCTTTCTTCTATGATGTTATGATAGATAAAACACTTCCATAAGTTTATTTAATTTTTGACATTTTTGTTATTAATTTTGCATTGACTTTGAATTTGTATACCTAAAAAAGATTTTTAACTTGCAAATCCAGTTAAGTTGCTGGATAAAACTCTTTGAATATCACGTTTCGATATTCACTTACATAAATAAAAGAAAAACGCTAACTTTTGTAGGCAATTTTTTAAGCCTAAGTCATATTGAGTTATAGTTATTTAAGAAGTAATTCCGAGGGATCAAGAGATAGCCCATACTTCAGTTTATTTCACTGATTTCAGCGCAATGGAGTATGGAAAAAATACGCAGTAGTTCAGACAGTAAGCCACTTGTATTTGAACTCAATTAATAGACATTTTTTTATGGAAGGGGCGAGCATGAGAAGCGAGTATCGAATGGAATGGCTATGTCGATCTACTGTAATAATTCTGTTTAATGGTCGTATCTTTTCACTCTGCACAGGTAAGTACCTATCAGCGTAATTAAATTGCGCAGGTAAAGTTTACCTTGTAGTTTGTTCACTCCAGCCGCACTTTGCTGCAGCCGGGCGATGGAAATATGATAAATTGCCGCTTTTAGAGGCGGCTGCAGTAGCCCAATAGCCCGGCAGCCAGGAGAGACGCAGACGCAGCCGCAGCCGCAGCAGCAGACGGGCAACATTTGCCGGCACATAAATTCAAAAAGAGCCGCTATTGCTGCTAACCAAATCTTAATTATAAATCTAAGGAAGCACTTGGAAAAAATTACCGCAAGCGCAGTGCGGTGTGCTGCGACCAAGTTGCAAGGGGAGCAAAAAAATGAAGAAGAATGTAGAAGCGAGTACAAAATGAAATGATGATTTAATAGAATGGTCTGCGGGCACCGCCAGCTGGTTGGTTGAGCCGAATGAATGGGCAAGACGAGCCGGCGGAAATGACTCCATAAGCTGCTGCAACCATAAACCGGAAGTTAACAGACTTTTGCTGATGTGGCAGTTTTCGTGCTGCTGCTGCTGCTGCTTCTGCTGGAGAAGGACGAGGTGGAAGAGCGGGACACGAAGTACACCCGGGCAGGGACACCGACATGGACACGGACACGGACACGGACGCGGACACACTCGGCGGGCAGTCTGCGAAATTGTGACAGCGCATGGCCGCAGGATAATCAAATAATTTTTTTTGCTCATCGTCTTGCCGCCTCTCGCACAATTGCAGGCATCTTTTTTGTGGCTTCATTCTGAAGGCTCCCGCTGCGTGGCTCTGGCTGGCTGGCTCGTTAAATTATTGTGCAACATTGCCGCAAAATGCTAATTGCCGCACGATACGATCAAGGCCCTGCCCTGCCCAGTCATACAGTTCACAGTCCCCTCCCCCTGTTCCTGTTCCAGAAGAAAACTTTTTCAAATTGCAGCTGTCAATGAATTTTCCTTGCCATTGACAGTTTCATTTTCTACTCCTGCCCGATTCTCGGTCCGCCTTATCGCAATGTGTCAAACTATGCTACATTTTACTTGCACTTACCCAATAAATCACAAAAATTCGTGACGACCAAAAGATTTATCGCGAAACTTGTGCTTAACTCGTTTCGGTTATCTTGCAATGCGCTAATAACGATATTTTATTATTCGAAATTCCATTCTGAAAGCCCTTTCAAGTTTATTACGCTTTCATAAATTTCTGCTGTACTTTCCCAGCTATTCAAATGTTCACGCCCTTTTTATAGCGAATAAATGGGCAATTGTTTGCTCAATTTCATTTACATTTGTCACGCTCGAAAAGTTGTTAAAGCAATAATGAATAAGAAATAATTCGCATTGTAAAGTGTTTTTAAATAGTATGATTAATTTAGGTTCGCATCGAAGTACAACTTCATTGAATTTTACTGAAATATTTACCTTTCAATATTATATTGATAATTTAGTTGATAGTTGTGCAGCACTTTTGATATCTCTTCTATTTAAAATATAAATTGCATTCAGTTTGGGCATATAAAAACATTTTTAACTACATCCATTAAAAATGTGAACTGAGGGCAAATGTGTATGCAAAGGCATAAGGAGGCCCGGCAGACCCCATCAAATATATATGTTCTCGATCAAATATAGCAGCTGAGTCGATTTAGCACTGTAAGTTCGTTTTTCTGTCCGTTAGTGTGAGAACTTCGATTGCGAGGTCCCCAACTAAATACTAATTTGTATTTAAATTGATGAATGGGTTAGACATATTTAATGTATTTTATATTTTTGATATTAGAATCAAATTTCATGATAACTGGAATGCCACAAAATGAAGAGGTTTCCCAAATACTGTGTTCTTGTAACGAAATCATTTTTTATATACTATATATATATTTATTTTATTAAGGATCTGTTTACTGCGCAGCGAGTGCGCTTGTGCTGAAGCTCTTCACTATGAGAACTAAATGATCGAATAACTTTTTCTAGGTGGATTTTCTTATGTCGATTTTTATCGATAATAAGGAAAATAAGATTTAGTTATCGAAAAAAATAATCAGTTCTATCATACATTTCATACATATTCATTCATACATACATTTTAAATTTCAAGTGTTTGATGTGTCATCAATATCGATTCGACCGTGTGAAATATCGATTCAGCTGGATCAGTATCCAGAATATTACTTCTTGATGGGTCGTGCCACACCTTATTTTGCCTATAAACAAAACCATTATACATTAAATTTCAAATTTTCAATGGGACTCGGGCATAATAAAGAGAGTTATTGAATTGCATCTATAACAAAACTTATTGAACGATTTATTTACATAGTTAAGTCCGTTTTATTGTTGCATTTTGTTACAAAAATATAATAACAATGACTCAAAAGAGGTAAAAGTATAAATTGGTAAATTATTTATTATTACGTCTATATGAACAGAAGATGTGTATCACAATGTTATTTCAATGTACTATTTTTACTGACTTACAGACTGCTCAGTTTGTTTCAAGTAAAAAATATATTAATTTCTTGGAATTCAAGCAAATCTGAGAAGGCCCGTATTTAAATTTGGAACAGGTATTTTTGATATATTTTTGAATGATATTTGAGGACATTTCTTTTGATATTTGCAGATGTCAACAGATTCCATTTGTTAATTTTTTATATATTTTATATATATTTTTATATATTTCTTATATATATTTATTTTTATATATTATATTTATTCACAGGTATTATTTATCACATCTGTGCCTTAAGTCGAGGACGAGGACGTTGACGTTGGGTCCCCAAAGATAAGCCTGGCCCTTTTTACTATATATTATAGATAATTGTATTACTTAGGTTTAATAACAGACAATGTTTTTATGTTGAAGCTTCATCGAAAAGTTTTCAATTGCGTAACCTTTCTGTAAGCTTTGTGCTTATGCGTAAATGTTATCTCGCTATAATCTCAGCTTTAGCTTCTGATCATTTTCCAGCTTAGCCCCCACGAATCAATCATTAGTAATCGTGCATTTTATAACCTAATGAGCTGTGACAGTGTTCACATTTATATTACATTACTCGTATGTAATAATTATTAAAAATAGCAACTAGATGCTGCCTGGTTAGAGCAGCATCATTAACAAGTTTACAAACAAATATACGAGTCATAGCTATTCTGGTAGAATAGAGCTGACAATGACACGTGTGGCTAGAGCGATAATACTTGTGGTTATAGCAGCCTCTTTTGTATACTTTGCTGTTGGCCGTAAGGTAAATTGAATGGAGATTAATTTCAGATTATACTTGATTAATGTGTCCCAAAGGCCTTTAATTCTTTGCACTTTCGCAAGGTCCTCACCAAGTTTGGGCCCAAATATGCCTCAAATTACGCAGCTCGTATTAGTCCAGATCAATTAACCATCAATTTAACATTGGACATTATGAAACCCCTTACTGTGGACGTCTGGGCGAAGGTGAGCATTGGGCAAAGAGAAGCTAAGAATAGTTACCGAAACATATTCGCCTACAACATGAACTTATGCAACCTGATTGGCAAAGGCAAGGGCATGAATGTGTTCCAGATTTGGGTGCAAAACATCTACAGGTACACGAATATGCCGCGGCACTGCCCTATTCCAGAGGTAAGTAGTCAACTGCTTAAGCTGACTGGTCACGTGAGTCAATTGAGTTCTCCCAGGGCAATTATTACTGGAGAGAGCTGCGACCCGATAAGGACAGCATACCCGCCTTCATAATGTCGGGCCATTTTCGCATTGATGCCATGTTCTATATGCGCGACTGGAGCAACGATATGCTAACGAATACCTCAATGTTTGTCGATATTAAAATGAAATGAATCTCCCACCGACGTGTTGTCTACCTAATTTGCCACATTTGAGCCTCATGAATCCTTTATAGCCCGAAACTCAACGCCTCTATGCGATCGCTAACACAATTTTTCACTTCCGATTGAGCAAATCGTTGCACGTGCACTTCGCATAAATATATTAATGAGCCTCAACCTGGTTGGCTCTGGCTGGATTTGTTCGCACGCGACACACGCTCGCCTTCCGACTGGACAAGGATAGGAATACGGCAACAGACACGGACACGACCACGGACGCGGACACGGACATGGACACGTAGAAGGACATGAACACGCAATCGAATGGCGGACAAGCGCAGCAGATGTTGGCACTGCTGCAATTTATGCGAATGGCAAACTAAGCGCAAAATAATTTAAACACTGACAATAACAGTTGGCCAAAGTATTTCCCTTAACAACTCGACAAGTTTGCCCGGCTCACGGGTCGTGCACCAGCGACTCTGCCGCCTGCATCAGGCAGCAGGACTCCGTGACTCCAGGACTCCAAGACTCCAGGACTCCACGACTCCCGCACTCGACACGTTCGCACGCGCTGCTAAGTACGCAACGTTTTTAGTAGCTTCTTTTGCTTTGCTGTGCTCTCATTTCCTCTGCCTGCGTTGGCTCGTTTCGCACTATCATTGCACTTCCGCTCAAAATCAAGGCAGAATCAAAGCATCATTTCTTGTATTTGTCGCCATCGACAAATGTTGGCAGCGTCGAGGACCTCAGCGAGTGCAGTGCCAGGCTCTCATCCGAACATCTTTGAGACAAAATAATATTGGTAGTGGCAGCGGGTACTCAAGGAAATTGCCATCATTATTGTTGTCGTGCTTTGTGCTAAATAACGTTTAGCGTTTGTTTGGCGTGAAATTGATTTACACTACGAAACGCTGCTAAGTTCTTCTCTGATACTTGAGCTGGGTAAACATTAAACATTAAAGTATAAACCAAAAATATATCTATTATATTATATATATATTTCTATATAGTATAATATAATGTATAATATATAATAATATAATAATATATAATAATATATAATGTATACTCTACTATACTATACTATCAATCTTTAAACTTACAAGATACAGACGTATGAATATCTCTAGCTTGAATGGTTTTGACACGGGAAGACTTGATTCTGTGGAGCCATCAGAAACGATATATGTGTATGTTATGTATTTTTTCTAGATTTGGCACAAATTGAAATTGAACAGAAGCAGACCAATTATTTGCCGCAGCAGGCATTAAACTAATTGAACAAAGCTCACCTAAATCACTCATTAGCACTACTCAAGCGGGCAGCTGGGATGGCCTCAGGCAATGTCAGGGAGAAGACATCATTACATATGCTATAATTATTCCGGCGGGAATCATGGCACACACACACACACACACATGTACAGACACACACAGAGCCTAAAGCGAAGCGCTGTGAAAATTATGCCAGACCGGACCGCCTGGCGAGAGGCGGTGACAAATGCAGGTGGGCGGCAATTAGGAAGCGATAAGGTAAAAAGTACACACGCAATTGAGTCGGGACAGACGGAAGCAGCTAGGACAAGAAGGAAAATGCAGTAAAAGGAGCCGTTAGCAGCAACAGAGCAGCTGGATCAGCTCCTTTGCTGCATGCGACAGCTGCCAAGCGAAGTAGACGTGGAGCGCGAGGCTGATGACATCGAGGACATTGTCGCTAAATTGAATGTTTTATTTTCGATTTCTTTTTTGTTCGCTTTTTGCTGCTGCTCTCGATAATCAACGGCACTGCGTGCCACATGTTGCAGCCATGTACAGGATATTATTATTTCTCATGCAACTTGGCTGCAATAATAAAGTACGACTCGTAATGCTTGTGCGCTTAAAGTCGAAGATATCGCATGTTTGCCGATTTATTGGCAGCTAGCTCAGTTACACAAAATGGAATCAATGGTAAAAGAGAGCACTCGAATTTCAGATTTGGTCATGTACTTTCCATAGAAGAAATTGACTCTGCCACGGTACTCGCCGGGATGCAGAAACTGATGTGTCAAGCTGGAGCCCATTTCCCAATCATGCAGATAGTAGGTGCCAGGTACTACGGGGCAGTTGAGCATGAAGTTGCTCTTCTCTGTCATGCTCTTGAACCAGCTCTTAAACAGTCCGCCTTTGACATTGCTCACTGTGGCACACACATCGATATTGTGGCTAAACAGAGTTTGATAAGTCTTGGCATTGGCCAGTCGCAATTGGTAGTCGAAGTGAGCCCTGAAGCCGCGTTGAATCGGCAACAGCAACTCCATATTCATATTCAGTGTCCTTTTCGAAACAGAAAGCGAAAAGCTCTTATAATATTTCGGATTGAAAGAGGAGTTGCTGGACAGAAACTCAACGCGGCGCTCCTACAGAGAAAGACAGACTTCAGATACAGTAAAGGCAGAAGGATACATGCGACTTACCGCTCGACTGGGAAACACATTTATACATAGTATGAATCCAATTATCAAAATAGTTGTGCAGTAATAAATGCGTAAAGAAATCATTTCGACACGTACCTCGACGAATTGCTAGTAATTATAAATGTAGTTGAGTATAGCATACATATATTTAAGTATTCCAAAAATCAATTAGGCTCGGACGTAATGTATTGAATAATTATGAATTTGATTTTTATCTCTTTACCCGAATGATATACTCAACTCTCACTATTGCTTCATTATGATCATGCATGAATGCATCGAAAATGTAATCCTCACTTTGCTGATAATCTTTATATATGTCCATTGAATATTATATATACGAATACATAGTTCATTACAAATGCTTGTGGCTTGAACCTTAAAATCTATGTTTTTTTTTCATTTTCCAATTATTGATCGAAATTAAGGGAGCCCCCAAATGTGCTAGATCTTTGTCTATATATTTTTCTTATAGGGGAAAAATATTCAGTTTTTATGATTTATACTGCTAAAGCATAGATAGACCATAGATTGATTGGTTAAGAAATTCGCACAAGCTCGGAAGTTTCTCTTAATAGATCAGACTAGAAAAAGCGCTGTTCCTTATTCAGAAATGAAACAGTTTTAGTCGTGACCTTTGGTCCAACTAATGCTTAGCTCGTAACCATCTTAAAGTCATTTCGCTTACTTCAATTTTACTTTCTTAAAGCTCTTCCTCTTAAAATCACAAGTCGGTGTTGTTGCTTGCTTAAAGACAGTAAAACGATCCTTCATATTGTCTGACCACTTTTATATGCTTTTTGACTTATTATAGAAATGAATATCAGCTAATTGGTTTTTAGGGTTGCAAAAACAATGACGTCTAAAGCCGTTTCTTCGTTCTTTGACTTGAGTTTGCCATAGAAAAAATGGGCAATGACGCGATAGTTGCCGGCATATAAATACTGGGGCACCAGCTGGGAGTCCACCTTCCAGTTTCGCAGAAAATAATGACCCGCGACTACTGGGCAATTGTACATGAAGTTGCTATGATCCAGCATGCTCTGGAACCAGGCCTTAAAAATGTTTTTCTTTAGTGCTCTAGTAACTGAGCAAACGTCCACGGTGTGAGCGAAAACGCGTTGATAGCGATTCGTTTTGCTCAAGCTGATGGAGAAGTCGACGTGAGCTTTGAAGCCGCGATCAAAGGTCCTTTTGGTGATCATTTCCAGGTTGACCGTGTTGTTGACAACGCGTATGGTGAAGTTATGGAAGATCTCGGGATTGTACTTGCATTCGCCAGATTGGAAAATAACGTTGGACTGTAATTAACATCTTACACATAAGAATGACTTTAGAATTAAGAAGAACTTACGCCCAAAACATCTTGCACATTGCAACTGCAAGTTAAAATAATTATGCTTATACATTGTATGAACACTTTCATTACGATGCCAATATACGAATAACTGGGAAATGCCGCTCTGACAACTGACTACAATCATTTCTACTAAGCTATTTTTAATTGACAAATAATCATAGGTTTAACGACAACCAAATAGTTGGGCGAATTAATTTAACAAAATGTTGACAATCGTTCATTCATTGAAGAGTCAGTGCGTCCGGCCATCCGTCATGAACATGATCGGCAAGGATTTGGCCTCGTGAATATGGTACTCGCTTATATATATGTATATTTATATATACAAATATATGAATCGTATATATAATAAGAAAGACAAATTTGACAGAATCAAGACATTCAATAAATTTGTTTTATGTTTTTGGTTAGCGAACAATTGTTACCAGTCGATTGCCCACTACTGAAACGTTCTTAATTATTTTTATTTAATTACGACCTCTACCTGACAGGCAATTATGAAATCTTTAACATGACTCTGACTATAAATTTGAATGGCATGCAGATTTAAGCGGTAATAGCCAGTGAACAGGAAGGTTGGAACATCGAGCTCAATAACCTTAAAGTCTTTTATATAATAGTTATTTGGCGGCACTGGGCAAAATCTTTGGAAGTTTCCATATTGATAAAACTTCGAAAACCACTTTTTGAAAATGTTGTTTTTCCGCATTGCCAATATACGGCATACGTCCATGGAGTATTGATAGAAATTTGAAAAGCTGTCTGATTCTGACTTGCGAATGAAGAAATCCATATTCAAGCGGAATCCCGGGAGCAATGCTTTAACTAAATCCATGTCAATGCTCAGCTTATTATTTTTAAATATCACAGATAAGTTGCCAATTTAATTCCGATTGTATTTTTCACAGTTGGGAGCTTTTAAAATAGTAAATGATGATTTCTATAAACAAGTTGGAAACTTACATATGAAAAGATAAAGGCAGACTTTTATGTGTATAATTACCATATTTGCGTATTGAATGAAGACCAAGAAGACTATAAACGTTTTCCAAGAATTCATTTTTCAGACTTCCTCTCTGCTGAAAGATACTTTGAATACAGAAAATGGATTTCAAAGCTTCATCAATGAAGTTTCGCACGCCATAATAGTGCGCACGGCAATTTTAGGCCATTCTACGGAAATAATTGTATAATGCTAATAAAGCAATAAACAATAAATATAAATGAGCCAAAATAGAATGGAATGACAATATGGGCTTTCGGTTTTAACATTGAGTCTAGCTCAGCCTTATGGGAATCTTTTGAAAAATAAATATTTTGGTCGGGAAGTTACGATCCGGAATCAGTGTCTCAAGCATTACGTCTGTTAAGTAAGAATTAGTTGAAACTTTTTGTGTTTGAAACCAATTTGGATTTTCAATATCTATATTTATATCTAGCATGACTTAACTGACTAGTAAAATAAATATAAAAATAATTTTTGATAGTAGATTTAGTGCTCAATTTAACATGATTTTTTAAAAATAAAAACTGATTAAAATGAAATTCACTCTCCATAACCGATTTCTAATGACCTTCTTGATAGTTTATTGAAATTCAAAAACTCATTGATTATCTAGACGACAATTAAAAACATTGTTACATAATGGTTGAAGTCAGCCAATGGTTGAAGTCGGCTTTCCGCAGTTTTCAATATTGCTAACATCCATTTATTCTTCGTCCGTTTGTGGAAACGTTAAACGGTCTCGAGTAACTTCTTTATTTAATTTCCACTTCCACCTCACAATGAAAAACAAAATCTTTAGTCTTACTTTTACCATTGCCTTGAATCATTTTAAGTTCTAAGCGGAAAATGCCAGCGGTCAGGAATGGTGGTAGATCGAGCTCGTAAATCTTGTAGTTTCTCATGTAGTAATACTTGGGTGGAACTGGGCAAGATCTTTGGAAGTTTCCATAAGCAAAAAATGTGGAAAACCACCTTTTGAAAATATTGTTTTTCCCCGTAGACAACATGCTGCATATATCCAAGGAGTATTGATAAAAATGTGTGAAGCTCGTTGACTGTAGCCTGCGTGTAGAGAAATCCATTTGTAGGCGTACTCCTGATTGAATTGCTCTGACCAAATCCACATCAACGTCTAACTTATTACCGTAAAGCCTCACAGATAAGTTTCGCAAGTAAATCGGATTAAAGTCGTCACATATAGGAGATTTCAGGACTAAAAATGGTATCTTCTGAGAATTAACAAACAAAAAAAAAATAACTTAGATAATAATTATTCAAGTCAAACTGATTGCGTCCTTTTGCTTACCAGGCTTGCGTACGGGACAAAGCTGAAGACAAATATAAATATTGTCAAAGAATACATATTGTAGGCTTCCGCTCTGTTCCAAAATAATTTTGATACAAAAATGGGTCTACTTAAAATTGCGTGTGGGCCAATTGGCTTGGCCAGGCTGCGGGAATAATTGTAGTTATTAAAATATTTTACATTTAACAACCAGTAAAACCAAGTGGGAAAGTAATCGGGAGTGCCCGACTCGGATATACCCCTACTGCAGCCACTACCAATCTCAGTGTTTTAAAAGTAAACAATATTGTTTTTTTTATATAAGATTGAAATAATTTTCAACTAAAAAATATTAAGAAAATTTCTATATGAATAAGGAAGCTGAATCTGCATAAAACACAGACCACTTCCACCATCTCCATGATGTCATAATCTGTTGTTTGTTTGTTTAAGATTTAGAGCATGTATCCATGATAAGAAATCAATATTGTATAAAATATATATATTATACCAAATGCCAAATTTTGAGTCTGTGGTACCAATGACGGACGAGATATTATTTAATATCTATAGTTCGATAACGTAAAATTAGAAAAGTTATCGACTATTTCAAAACAAACTTGATTAGGAATTGATATACTTTTGGGAGTTCTGGTTGTAAAAGTCGTAAGAGGTAGAGCTAAAGTCGAGTAAAGCTGTATTATTATTACTAGTGTATAAATTACCCACTTTTTGTATTTCTGACTTATCGATCTTCGTTTCAAAGAATATTGAGGAGCCTTTTTTTCTCCGTCTAGAGAATTTGTCTAATGTCTCCATATTTAACAATTTTAAGAGCAGTAATGAATATAAAAAAATCGATTATTTTATGGGTTTCAACAATTTGGTGTTTGAATATCGAAGGATAAATGAGCTGTATTCGAGATAAATTTGGTTAAAATTTGAAATAAATTTAACTAAAACACAGCTCACTCAAAATTCATTCAAGCCGAAAAATAGCATCAATCATACTTAAACAGCACAGTAATCAGAAAAAAATGAACAAAAAAAATAAATAATTACCTCATTCGATTTTTGACGACTTTATTCATTATTATATTATATTATTGAATACATATATATATGCCAGTGTGTAATAATTAAGTAATTAAGTAATTTGAAAGTAAAGACATGCAATTATCATGATCATTATTTATTCTTTATTCTCCATATATTCAATGAATTTTATAATTTTGTTTTACGAATTGATAATGAAGATGCGATAGATATACAGCAAGGAGAAACTCTAAATATTTCGCATTAGATTTTATGAAATAAATAAAATGGCAGCACTTCATATAAATTAAATTGATTTGTTTTCATTAACATCTCATTACAATTATTGTGCATTAGTTTGATTAGCTGTAATAAGTCCCTATGCCAATGAAATTGCTTTAGACATTAAAGCCTAATCGCAAGCATCACAGCAAAACGCGCTTGGTAGGCTGCAGTGTTTATTTGCTCAAGGGGTGCACAGAGAGAGCAGAAAACAGAGAGACAGTCAGTCAGTCAGCCAGTCAGTCAGTCAGTCAGTCAGTGTAGGGCTGGAATGGCTCATCCGAAATGCAGTCAACGTGACTTTGTTTACTTGGCGTAGTACGGCGAAGCCGCATCTCGTATTTATGTGCACGAACCGCACTGCAGAGAACAAATGCACGTAATTCTGCTTACTTCGTAACATTGCAACAGTGCACGGTTCCCACCGACGTATTTTTTTAGGATTTTTTTCATCTGCGGTTGCGGTTGTCTGTTGGTCAGACAGACGGTCTGCCGCTCAGACGGGCAGACAGACACGACGACCTCTGGCCTTAATCAGAATCGACAGAGTAAAACTAAGGCGCTATTTTCAATTGTAGTTGCCAGGCCGAACGTTCTGTTGTCTCCCAGTGACCAAAAAAAGTGTCCTGCTTGGTATTTTTGCTTTGGCTTAGCTTTGCTTTGCTTTCACTCTGCGCCTGCATATTGCATTTATTTACATAGGCCTGGCTGACTGCCTGCCTGTCTGCCTGTTTGCCTGGCTGCCTGTCTGCCTGCCTGGTTGGCTAGCTGACTGCCTGGCTGACTTTTGATTTAAAGCTCTTAGCTCCTAACTCAATTCCCTTTCGACTATGCAGCTCTCATTCCACCAGGTCCTCACAGCAATGTGTGTGTGTGTGCGTGCTAGTGTAAAGGTGTGCATTGCTCCTTCATATCTATTTGCACATGCATTTACGTGCTCGGCCCCTTTTGTGCTGTGCAAATAGGCACAGCGCTTGCAGCTTTCAGCCTCCGACATAATCCGTGACCATCATCTCCAATTTTAGGCTGTATTTTATATGACCTTAGTTCAAGTTGAAGCTATGTGGGTTGCCTAACAGCGTCATGAGTTAAAGCTGCAAGCTCTTGCTCTGATAGCAAACCTTAATATATTGGTTTGAGTGCACATAATAATAATTTCTATGACGTAATACGAAATGCTATAATAAAAATGTTACGCGGCTAGCTAGGCACCTAAGGTCAACTAAATATATAGTATTTTACAGAAACATAGCATATAAATATTGAAGTCTTAGTTTAGAAAATAGTTAGCTTGGAAAATATAAAAACTTTGTCACCTTCTACCATATTGTCGACTGCAGCTCTTCAGAAATTTAATCTGGAAGGATGCATTAAATCATATATGTGAAGAGCAAGAGCATATCATATGAAACTACTACAATTTAATTAAAAATATTGTAAGTGCCAGTTAAGCTCAATTTAGTGTTTTGACTAGTGGCATATAGATTTCTGAAATGAGTATTGAGGCAGCAATTGAATTCTTAAGCGTTTGGCATTCACTGATTGCCCCCATGATTCAAAAATAAAAATGCGTCGTCAGCAACTTTGACCACATTTTTGACTGACAGACTGGCAGGGAAACAGACTCTTCTATAGATTGCACTATTTTTTGGTCTTTGCTTTATCACTTTTTGCGGCACTCCAATTTCGAACGGCAATCAGAAGTGCAACCATGGAAAATGTTTTCACACTTGGCTATGTGGCGCTGGTAAAAATATTTTGCTGGTAAACATGATGACCCAAAATAAACAAGAAGAAGATGCGGATGAGGAGGAAGCAGAAGAAGATGAAAGCAGGGGTAGCAAGGCACTCGTGCGCGCCAAAGAAGACGTCATAATAATGCCCAAGCTGCAGGAGGCTCGTAATCAGAGCCTAGAAATATGCAATGCGAAAAATCAACACAGCAAAAAGGAGACAGCAAAAGGACGACTATGCCGAGTCGACCTCAATTACCCTCGTTTGGCAATGCGAAAAGGGCTTGTAGCTAAAAATTAGTACATATTTACAGGCGTTGGCATGAAAATTTGTCACCTAGCCACCGGAGCCAGAGCCAGAACCAGAGCCAGAGCCAGAGCAATGTGAATGCCACTGAGCAAACATGTGTGTGTGTGCATGTAATTGAGCCTACAGATATGCAACGAATGCAGGTTGTTGCTATTGTAATTGACACTTGGGCGGCGCCCATCGAGGCAAACAGTTGCAGCAGCTTAACGCTGCGACTGCGCGCTCTTCGGGGTGGCTGAGTGCCTCCAACACAGGCCCAGTGCATTTGTAGGGGCAACAGTGCAGCATGCTTCTCGGCTGTCTGGAAATACACAAAGCTCTGATTGGTCTGCACGAATCGTGCTCATAAAGCTTGCAGCAATGCAGCTGATTGGTCGAGCTCGGCTTAAGGGCAACTTCCAGTGCGCATGCGGCGGGAGAAAGAGAGAGAGCGAGAGAGCCTTAGGGACTTGCTCAGCAAATAGTAAGAGCTGCTCTGCATTATACCACAGTTTATTTATCCCTTTTTACGCTGTCTGGCTGGCTGGCCGATTGTCTCTCTCCCTATGTATATATGCATATATATCTATATGTACGTGTACGAATGTGTGTGTTTCTCTGAGCGATTAAAGTTAAGCGCGAGGTGAAAAACTGTTGGGGAATCCTTCGCAGCTTAAGTGGTGGTGGTTTTGTTTATATTTTTACACTTGTATGTATTTCGATACTAATTGCATTGGAATGCTATTGGACTATTGCTTGTGTAGTTCTGATTTAAGCAGCATCTATTAACCTATCTTACCAATCTAATAAAGGGCTGATAGATAGACTAATTTCCATGCTGTTACAGTGAGTTTTCGGATTACAATAATATATTTGTGCTTTTATTATATTTTTAATTTTCTTTATTATTTTTCCTTATATTATTATTCGAAATTCGATTATGTCTTTATTTTCATGCCGATGTTTCAACCCCTAAATGTTCTCTTAGATTTTGCTGTCTCGCTCTCTCTAAATATTAACTGTTTAAGAGATACTTTGGAAAGTCTACACAAACCAAATCTCAATTCGGCGCATAACACTTGCACTCAACAGCTTTTATACACTGCGGGAAACTATTGGAACTTCATAAAAATATGTATGATTAAGTGAGTCCAGAGCCCTTATGCCACAGCTAGCCCTGCAATATGTTACGCTTATGATAATTCATAATCGTGTTTACATTAATTATTACGGAAATAATTATTTTTGTATTTTCTTTTGATAGAAATATATTTCAGTGTATAGTGTGCGGCAAAAACAAAGCTTTTAAGCGATATGCTGATAGGTTACTGGGAGCGTGTAGAATTGGCTTTGGGGATGTTTGCACTTGTTGCCGTTACTTGTGTTGTGGAGGAGAGCTTAACTTGCGGCGAATTCAGCCAGGCAACATGTTCGAACTTGGCTCTTCATTGAGCCTGTAAGTCAGTGAGACAAGCCACATCAAAAATCTTCAAGGCAGATATCGAATAATAAAAAATTAAATAAAATAAATTTAAAAAATCGCTATTAAAGTTTAAGTTAAGTTAGAGTCGCGATTGAGTATTGAATTTCATTTGATAGAGCTGCCTTCAGTTGATACATGTTGCACGTTGTGCGAATGCAACACATCTTCATTATTGGTCCAGGCCACGTCGGATGGTTGCAATCGTCGTTAGAGCGTCGGTATTTGCCGAGATTTGGACTTGGGCAAAAAACAGTAAGAACAAGCATGTGGTGTTGTTGGTAACAAAAGCCGTTATCTGGCGGCCCCTACGACTTCGCCGTCGTCCATTTGCCGGTTCGTTGTGGCGCGTCGTGTGCCGACATTTCCTTTTCGTCATCCTGTCGGCCGTGTCGCCTCGTGTCCTCGTGCATTTGGTAGGTTTCGTGCTCGTTGCACATTCGCCACATGCGATGCCAAAGCAGCAGATTTTTTCGGAATGCGTTAAGGATCAGTTTTGCGCGAAATACGGTTACGAAAGGTTGCTGACGACAAAGAACCGGCGTCTGAGCAAACATTACTCTGTCTTTCTTTGTGCTTCTGCCCTTAACATGTGAGTGTGTGTTCGTGTAGTGAAGAACTTTAACGCGAGATTGTGCAATTGCCTGGCGACCACGTCGAAACGTAAATTAGCGCCTCCAACTGAACTGAGAACTGACCTAAGCCAAGGTCTTTGAGACAGTAACTGACCTGGGACAAGCAGCACATTTCTATACCAGAACCTGCAGCTCATGTAAACCTAAATTAGAGAAAAAACTATTGCATATCCTTGCCCATCCGTTTTTGGTACGAAAAGTTTTTAGGAAACCCATCATTTTTGAGAAGAAAGTACATTTGTCGAGCATACGAGACTGGCTAAAGAATCTTTGGAAAAACAGCGTACACCTAAAAAAAACTTAAACTGAGACAAATAAGATAATAATACATACATTAGTTTAACTAGTGCATACTAATATTTAAATAAATACCTATATGATACACATATATATGCATATGCCCATGTATATATAAATATTTCTATAAGATATCATATCATTTGTATGTCAAGCAAATTAATTTTAGAAAGAATCTAACCAGTTCTTGAACCATTTCTTCAAATAAAGTTGGATTTTTTGAATCGCTCGCTTAACTAATTATGGTTGTGAAACATGCGAACAGTGGCAGTGCGAAATACTTGAATGATATTTGAACTGTACATCTTAGCCTAATAGAACCATCTACATTTCCCGTTCCAAGCAAATCTGTAGATTCGTATTCAAGCGTCTTGCAAACATCTACAAACATTTTCATATCAATACTCAATGCTAGAAACTAATGGAATTTTGATTTAGGTTCATAGTGTTTGAAGTTATAAGTGTATTTATTACCTAAGCGGAAGTGTAAATGACGAGTCTACTTAATATCGCGAAAGCTAGCTATGTCGGAAAGTGTTTGAAAAAGTGAAGATTTGTTTATTTACAATTAGTTTCGCATCATATATTGCATAAAGGTTGCGCTAATGGTAAGTATTTCTATCAGCATTAAAACTATAATATATACTATATATTATATGGGCTATTTTAAATCAACATATAGGTATATTATTTTAGAATCTGCTGATCTTATTGCATCATTTTAATATCTACTCATTTCAGTTTTTATAATTCTTTGTTATTTTTGAATGTTTGAAAACCTTAGTTGAATCGAAAAGTTGTAAGTTTGCTAAAATAGTTTAGTTACAGTATTTTTAGTTAAATTATTTTAATCTAATCTGTACAGTAAGCTGAAGATATCAGTCATAGGTCATATTCAATAGTCTTCAAATACTTTAAATAGAGCCCGTTTCGCGTCTCGAGTAGCTCTCTTGTGCTATTATTGATTTGCTGTATGCCTCTTGACACTTCAGTTTCAATTAACAGTTGACAGCATCGCTTTTGGCCTACAATTGAAATGTCAGCAGATGTACAATCTGAGCTGCTGTAAGGCAAAATGTCAATATCAGCAAAATTCAGTAGCTGACTGCAACTAGTTTGCAGTAAGTGATTTTTGCATTGATCCGCCCAAATCGTTGCCGGATGAAGTGAACTGTATGAATGGGCAAACGGCTCAAGTGTGCTCAGGTTCGATTCGCACTAAGTGACATGCACTTTCAATTGCCGCAAGCTTTGCTGATTCATGAAGCCAATTGATGAGCCTGCAGTCGGTCGTTGATTAAAGCTCCGCTCTCAAAATTTATTGAATGAAAAACTTAACTAATTCAGGCAATGCGAAGTGCTGCTCTGTTCGATATGCTGGCATTAATCGAGTCTGTAAAGACAATGCGCCATGGCCAAATGCAACAAAGAAGCTCTGGCAGCACTGCCTGAGTACATAATCAAAACATTGCATTAAAAAGCAACGGCTCGCAGAGAGACGAGAGTCCAGTTTATAAAGCAAACAAGTCCAGCACAACAAAATGTTGACAAAAAGCGTAAAAATACGAACAGCTCAATACTGCACAAAATGAAAAATCCCACAACATGCAACAACACAAAAACCCAACAACAAGAGCCAACAACAAAAAGATTGAAAAAAAAAAACCCGCTCGCCCATACAAATAAATATGCAGTCAAAGGCAATCAAGCCATGTCGCTTCGCTCCTCAGTCTGGCCGCAGTTGTCGATATTTGATTTGAAAAACATTTCAAAAAATTAAAGCAACAAAACTGCAACGAAAATGAATTTGCTTTTTTCGATTTGGAATTGTCGCAACATTGCCAACATAGGCAACATAGGCATCCTCGCAAATAAATAACACCAGCAGAGGCCCAACAATTACCATTCGCATGGACATTCTGTGCCGTTGAAAGGATACTTTGTTTTAATACCCTGCAGCCATTAAATCACTTGAAGGGCAAGCTCATTTTGTAATCGCACATGAGTCAAATATACAAATTAAAAAGATTTTCAATCTACTATAAAGAGCGTAACATGGTGACTTCTATGATGTGAAGTCGATTTCAATTTGCTCATATTTTATTCCATAAGGCACATATCCATATTTAGAATAGAGTGCATGAATAGGGTATACATCCGAGTGTTAACAATCTACACAATAATCTGAGAGCTCGTAAGTTGATATTTTAATTTAAAGGCAGTATTTAGTTTTATATTTTTCTCTTTTTTAGTACAAAATACAAACACATTTTTTAGATCAAATCCCTTTCATTATATCGTAGGCTCGAATTCTACGACTAAACTGCTATTTTTTTACCGTTGCCTAATAGCAATTATAAATAAATGTTGTACATGTTATGTAAGTTTATGTACGTTATATGTTGGCCGATTACTATTTATTAATAATGAAGCAAGTTATAAACACCAGAAAGCTGAGACCATTTTGCGTCTTTTAAGAAACTCCAGGAGATTCTATCGTTAACCGATCTTCAATTTGTAATGCAAAATTTAATAATATTTACCTCTATTTACCTCAGACAAACATAATTATTATTATTACAAATATTATTTATTATGAAATTATATTTTTATATTTATATTTTCATATGACAAACCAGAAGATGTTTCCAAAATTAAAAAACATTGCAACCGCATTCAATGGATTTCAATGGATGTGTATTTAAAGGCTGCACATAATAAAACACTGTAAAAAAGTGATTTACTTAAAAATTTATTTTGAAACAAGTGAAAACTAAAAAAACTAAAAATAAACACGCAACGACCTATTTTGATGAGGATTTAAAAAGAGCTAAGTCAAGTCACAACCCCGATTCGGAACAAGCTTGTGATAAGATTAAAAAGTGTTTTTAAATTATAAGTACGAAAAATAGTGTCAGTCGTATTTTTTTCTAGATCAGAAAAACTACTACATGTTTTAGAACCGCATTATAACATTCATAAATAAGTATTATTTTTTTTTTAAATTTAAGTCTGCGATAAAAAGCTGCAAAGAACACAAACGAAGTACTTATGACTATGAACTATTTTATTATATAGTAGAGAAAAAGATACGTTAGGTAAAATGTATGTATATAATGTATTCGATAACCCTATATGCTAGTTACTATTTTTAAGATATCTCTAAAACTAGTTTACGAGGAATAAGGCGAGCTCGATTTGTATGTTAATACCAATTAGAAATATATATTTTTTTAAATCAATTGGCATGACTTTTTGTTCGGATTACGTAACTTACCAATCTTTACTTATGACTTTCAGAGCTCTCTGTATTTTGTTAAAGACGACAAAAGAGCTTTGAACTCATTTCCACCTGTTATCTGCTATCACACATATGAAATATTGAGTCTTTGAAAAAGCCAGAAAAGACAATATATTGTTCACCATAATGGGAAGTAAAAAACCGAAAATAAAACTTATATTGTACAGATAGATTTCAAAAGTATATAAAAGAAACTCTTGAAATGGGAAAAACGATAGTGGATAGTCGGGCAGCTAGGACTACCATGTTTGGCACGCACTGCTAACTTCTTCAGACACGCGGAACATCCTATACAATATTAAGTGTGTTTAGCTCTTGTTTGACTGCGAGCGACTATTATGCAGTTATACTTCATTATTGTATTATAAATTATTTATTCCTGACACCAAAATCCATTCTACTCCATCCATTTACCACTTTAATTCCGAACAATTGGTTAAATGTTTATAGAGTTTCTCTTGAAAACTCTTAAAATCCCAATTTATCCTATTTTAACTATTTTAATCATTGATCAATTACAGGAAAAACATTGTTAAAGTAGAAATATTTCCAAATGGGGCAACTGTATGAACCCTAACTAGCAGCAAAAAACAGAACGGCGCAGCTTGGGACGGAAAGCATTTAAGCTTCTGCAGCTATATAAAGTTTAATGAGCCGCAATTAATCGTACATGACAACACGATAAAAACGTTTACGAAAAATTATATCCTGTTCTCCTCCTTCATTTGTCTGAAGTCTTGTTGTGGGACTAGTTACAGCTGCAGCGGGCACCGTTAAAGGCTCTTTGTGCAGCTGGGTCTAGTTGCAAGTTGAAAAATTGCAATAAATGCGCACTAAGTTTTAATATATTCAGGTTAAATCAAATACTTTGGCCATCAATATTTGACATTTGTGTGCAGGAGCTTTGTGATCAGTAAATTTGTTTAATTTGTCAATTTTGCAATTGGAATTGCGTTTCCTAATTAACAATTTAAATAAATCGCGCAGCGTTTGTAACGTTCATTGAATGCAATTTAATTGGAAATTTAATTGCTTTTGTGGTCGAAATGTGCTGCGAGTGCCACCTTCGCCCTCTGCCCCTTACCGCTCACCTGAACATTTACCTGGGCCAGGGACATTTTTTCTTATTGTCTTTTTATGGCTGTCATGCATTCATATTTGTGGAGCTTTTAATTTAGACGTGTCGTCCATTGAAATTTGCCACTGGTTGCTGCCTCGTTTGGCTTTGTTGTTTTAATTATTTGCGGTTATATTTATTTAAATATTTACCAATTCAATTAGGGTTTCAATTTTCGTTCTGTATCGGCTGCTCTGGTCAGGCTGTGTAATTTACTATTGGCGACACTTTTGATGACTTTAATTGACTTTGCCATCGCGAGGTTTTATTGCAGTTTTAAAGCGGCGATTCCATGCTGACGTATGATTTCAACTAATATCATGTCATATCTGACAAATCGTATCTGCAGACATCGCTAAGGATCTAAAGACGAGTCGAGACGCGACCACCCAGGCAATAACTTAACTGAAAACCCCACACACGAAAAAGTTGTTTGTTTCTTTTTTCTTCTTTTTGTTAACTTCTTTATTTTTTTGTTGCCCTCATGCAGCTTCTTTTGGCTGGCTGCGTGCCAATTATAAAAGTGATTTTGCTGTAAGCTACACGTCCCAAGCAGACATAAGACCCCAACATACACGCACGCCCACCCACACATACACACACAGACGTACACACTTCCGTCAACGGGAAGTCATAAGACGTATGAACTTGTCGCCAGGCTGAGACCAAAGCCAAAGCCACGTCAGCGGCAAAGTCGACTGACGTTTTCTCAGTTTGCGCTGGGCCAAGAAATGCGATAAATTGAATGACTGACGATGCCGTAAATACTTTTTAGACATGTCCCGCTGGTCGGGAGAAGCTTCTCAGCACTGTCGCACGAGTCGCCTGGATCAATTTCCACATGCAGCAGACAAATTGCGCGTGGTTAGATTTTTCTTTCATAGTTGTCATTCATTGACAAGGTGCGAATACATATATAAGCCAAGCCCCAACTAAATGCGACTAGCGCATTGCGAGGCAACTTTGCCAAAGTCGTGACAGGGTTAAGCGATACTCAACGCTCAAATTGATTTCCAAACTTACTGAACTTTTAGAACACAAACGAATTTCTAATCTGCCAGCTAACGGCGTGTCGACCCAGATTTTGCAACTGAAATATTTATTAGAGTTATGTTTGGGGTTAAGGAAGTAAGATGGGTTTCAGGAGCTTAGAAGTATTGCATACGGCTTAAATAATATACATATATCCA